CTGACCTCTCTCACTCGTCTCACCAATCTGACCCATCTCACCTCTCTCACTCGTCTCACCAATCTGACCTCTCTCACCCGTCTCATCTCTCTCACTCATCTCACCTCTCTCTTTCTCTCCCTTTTTCGCTGATTTCATGTGATCACAGCTGCTGCAGCTCAGAGCGTCATCGATTAGAGTGTCGTTACCATGGATACTGCACGTTGTGATGATGTGTCAGTCACTTGTGAATCCTGACGCTCTGAGATCAAATCACCGTCTCTACGACTAAAAGTTTGTTTTTTTTAGAATGCTTTGAAATCAGCTGATGAGCGGAGTATTGCCGACCACCTGATTGCCAAAGACAGGGCGTTGGTGTGGCTCTCCTACATCCACCTGACGGAGTTCGACCGGCTGCCGTCCAGCCTCTACGACCCGGCCGAGTCCGGTCCGTCCAGACTGGTTAGCAGAGAGTCCTTCCTGCTGCCGTGGAGATCACCACAGGACATCAGCACGCCACTCGACATCCTCATCGCTCTCTTTCAAGGTACAGAGGCTGGAGGCCCACGGGGGGGGGGAGTCAGGGGAGACGAGTCAACCAGGTTCTTATCCAGGTTCAGGTCTCAGTTTGGTGTTTCACTCCATAGATGCCATCCATCGGTGCACCGACAAGTCTCTGTCACAGAGTGAGAGGACGCTGGCGTGTCTGCCTCTTCACAACAACCTCATCGTCCTCAACAAGCTGCTGCAGAGGTGAGCCGCTGCTGAAGCTGGTTTTAAACCTTCTTCCATCATCCACATTGTTTTAAAACATGATTTGCACATGTGATGATTTGCACACAATGTTTTTCTGCTTGTCGACCTGCTGAACATTACATCATTTCATTGCTGCAGGTACGATGAGGCTGTTGTTCTGTGTGAGTCTCTGCTGGAGCTCTGTCCTGAGTCCTGCGCTCTGCGAGACGCTTTGGCCGACCTCCACATCAGGAAAGGAAACAGCGATCAGGCGGTGAGCATGTGGCTTCACGCTCTGGCCGAGTGTCCCAACAACGCAGAAGTTTTCTATCACTCCTGCAAGTTCCTCATGGCTCAGGTGAGCTCAGATGTTAATGCGGTTTGTTTTGCAATCAAACCTTGTGAATGAATGAATACAAACACAATACCAGAAAATATGTGGATAAATGCTGAGACTCCTCCCTCTGTGTTCCACTCATTGTCACTTAAAATGAAAGAGCATGACCATGTTGGTTTTTCCACAGGAGAAGTCAAGCGCGGTTGCTCCTCTGTTCCGAGGCTTCATCTTGTCTCTCTGTGAGGACGAACAGAGTCAGAAGAAACCTGTGGATGTTCTCCGGTACATTGATTCAAGCTGTGGACTGAGATGATGATGATGATGATGATGATGATGATGATGATGATGAAACATTGAGCATGTGAAGTCAGACAAGTGCAAGTTTGTTGTTTCCATCTTTTTTTCCGTAGGAACATTCTGGGTTTTTCCAGCGAAGAGCTTCTGAGAAGTCCCGTCGTCAAAAAGGATCTTCAGGAGCAGCTCAATCAGCAGACGCCCTACCTGCACCTCATTCACTGGTGTGTGTGTCTGTGTTTGTAGCATGAGTGTTCTGATGGATGACCATTCAACGGGTCGCTGCAGATTCCTGAGCTGTGTTTTTAGTCTGTGCGTTGTGTCGCTCTCTGACGTAAGACTGACGTGGTGTAATTGTTCAGTTGCTGGCAGTGGCTGCACGGTTCTGTGGAGCAGACGATGGACGCCTTCGAGAGAGCGCTGGGATCACCCCTGCAGCTGGAGGAGCTGCACACCCTGTGGCTGGAGTGAGTTTCTGCAGATTAACACTGGAGTTAGTTTGAAGCTGAATGACCTTTGACATGTGGCTGTTTCCTGTGGTCAGTTACCTGACGTTCAGCTGCAGTCAGCAGAGCCGTGCTCCGTCCAGACAATTCTCACATCTGGTGCACCGCTGTCTGAGCACCGTCCCCTCTCGACTGGAGCTACCCTTCAACCCAGCGGAGTTCTGGAACTGCTACCGCTTCCACAACCAGGTCAGTGAGCCGCTGTCATCAAGATGTTTTCAGACCTGCACTGAACTCTGGAGATTCTCCAGTTTCTCTGGAGGAGGTGTTTGTGTGAGAAAGTGTGACCAAAGCAGGAGATTATCCAGAGGAGTCACCATGAGCAAGTGGGGGGGTTGATGCCGTATTGAACTTGTGACGGATGCAAAAATGAAAAGAAAACAAACCAAGTGGACTCACACACATACGCCGTCAGTGAGAACGACTCACTGATGAAAAATAAAACGTGTAAAATTATCAGTTTAACCAGTAAAATATTTAAAGGTTCAGTGTTTAAGATTCAGGTGAAAAGATCTTCACTAGTGTTTCATCTAAATTCTACATGTCTTTGTTTCCTTA